GTCTACATTGCTTTGCTACATTATAAACCTACCACCACCAAGGGGCGATATTTGTGAATACATCACCAACATATGGACAGATGAACCAACCACCAACCACCAACATCAACAATGAAAAGTCTGAGATTGTCATGAACGTAGGCATGTTTGTGTGCATGTCACGTGTACATGCAAGAGTGGATAAATGTGATAACACAGGTACATGCATGCACATACAACTTGTAGAATTATGTTTGATAAGCTCAGTAAGGCCATCGTCAATATTTTCCCGTGTAGTTTTATACATTGTTATTTCTTTCTAGGCCACTGTCGTTACAAGAAAGGAAACAGAGCTCGCCTTCCATAGCTAGTAGCATCAACAATGAAAAGTCAGAAGTTGTCATGAACTTGAAGAATCGTGGAAGCAAAAAACGTTTGACTTTTGACCAGGTGACCATTTTCTTGAATTAACTAGGAGGAAACCCAGCATTGCCTCTTTGTATTTAGTTATCTATCTATCTATCTATCTATCCAATATCCATATATGTATTTAGTTATCTTTCTATCTATCTAACTATTTAATCACCCGTCTAACTATTTATTCATCTATCTATCCAGTATACATCTATCCGTCTATCTATCTATCAGCCATTCCACCGTGATATCGTGACATTTTTACAAAAATCCTACTTTTAATGGTCCTATATTCGTTTGCTTTTGCTTTTTTTTAAAAACTATTTTAGCAAATTAAGGTACCAGTTATGCATATTTTAGCATTGAATTTATTGCAGCCACACTAATTATATGTTTGCAGATATCACAAACCATTGTGTGCGGCAGGCTGTACTAACACATGTTTTGAAGTATATTTCACACTTTAGACTTTTCGTAGAATACTATAATTATGTTTGTCTGAGTTATACCTGGTGAATTAGATACCCAATGCCCTTGATCACTCCATGCATCATTTGCAGTGCTAGAACCCTCATCTGAAGTGAGCAACATCCTCCTAAGTATGTGACTCTCGTGACACTATTGAAGAAGCTGTGATTATTTAATAAAAGGGCCTATTTACATGAAATTTTGGATTTAAACCATTTCATTATTTCATCATTCAGAGAAAATAATTCATGGCACTATAGCTCTCACTTCAGTTTTCAACTTTGGTGTATATATACACTTACGTGGAATGGCTGCTATGTATTTAGATATCTATCTATTTAGTTATTTATCTATCTATTTTGTTATCTGTCTATCTATCTACAGTTATATATATTTATTTATCTACTGAATCTTTGGTAACAGTAAAGCAATTCAGAGCAAGCTGAATCCTGTTCGGATTGTTTTGACTTGAATCCTGTTGCTGCAGGGGCCATGTAGTTTATTTATCTGTTTTTCCTATTTTCTTTTGCTTAGATGACCGCAGAGGTCAAATCCAATGTGTCTGTGACATTCAGCATCAAAAGTTACATCTGCTGAGCATTCTTAAACATTTCTCATGTGCCCATATTGATTTCCATTGAACAGACAAACCTTAACAAATATGTATTAGATTATTTCACGTCTTGTCAAAATGTTAACACACAAGTATTTCCAGCTTTAACTGTCCTAGTGAGCACACTTTACCATTGTATGCGCAGCAAACATGCAAACATGAAAATTGCATTTTCAGAATGTGTATAGCCACCTTCTACGCCAAAGAAGGCTGAACACAGACGAATGCAAGCTAGCCAGTAATCTCATGAGGGTGAAAGCAAACAAAACGCTACTGCGCATTGAGTTAGAGGAAAACACAGGAAAAGTCATAACATTGAGAGACCTAAGCAACATGAAAGCCAGATCACAGTGTGGTGCAGGTGGCAATGAATTGGCCAGCATTGTCCGCCACTTGACTGACATCCGTGGTAAGTTTTGTTTAATACGAGTTTCCACTCTGTGTTTTTCATGGTGCTTTCAAAACTCTGAATAGTGAAGTATCAAATTTATTGTCTACCAAAACAAACTGAATCCAATGTTTTTCATTAAAATATATTAAGCTATAAACTCAGTAGAATCCAACTCCTATATCAGTCCTTGATATAATTTGGTTTCAAATATATCTAAACAAGTTTGGTCCATGTTAATTATTAATCTAATAATGCTAATTAATCTATGCTAGTCTGGTTAATATTTTCATAGATATTTTTCCTACATGTGCTGTCTACTGATATGTTTAATTATTGGTTTCAGGATCTGTCGTGGAAGTTGTGAAGGATGAGGATAATATCCTCACAGGACTTTTCTACCAAGACCGGCAGATGCGACAAGCCTACCAATCATATCCTGAGATGTTGATGTGCGATGCCACATACAAGCTCAACAATATTCGTATGCCCCTTTACGTGATGGCAGTAATTGATGGTGATGGTCACACTCAAGTGGCTGCATTGCACTTGACATCAAATGAAACAGGTGCTGCCCTTTCAAAAATGGTTCAGGTAAGTAATTTGAACTACAGTCTGTTATTAATCAGTAACTTCTACAGCTGGCGGTGGGGTCACTCGCATACTAAAGTGGTACCCATGCTCATCAAAGCATCTCGAAATTGGACCCTAAATGACATATTCAGCAGTAGCAATTAATTTCACCCCTTATTGGCATATGATAATGTAAATCGTACCCCTAAATATCATGAGAAAATAAAACGGACCCCTAAATGGCATAGCACATCTGACAGATGGCACATATACGGGGCATTTATACTGCGATTACTACACATGAACGCCCGGAATAGTAGTATGGTACAGATACACATACCGTATATATATATTGCAACTAGCCAATACTAAAACCCAAGTTTTCAAACAGCCAAGTGCTTTACCGGTACAGTACAATATGAATGAGTCTATCTAGTTGCTTCTCACTATTACCAATAGGGGAATTCGCAGCTGTTGTTGACATGAGTTTTGGTGCCAAACACTGGCTTTGGTGTGCAGCCAACCTCCATCAAAAAAACTTCCGGTTTTCGAAGCTTTTCAGTTTTCAGCATTTCAGATAGATTAAATTTGTGTACTGTATATCTGCCATAACAGCAATTTATACAAAAATTCAACATAGTGTTCAGTGCGTTTTCAATGTTTTTTATGTAAAGTAACACGCAACACTGCCTTTTAAAATTGATTAATTAAAAACACTTATCATCGGAATATGTTAAAAATGGAAAGATTAATAGAAACTGATTCTTCTTTTCAGATTTTCAAGTCACACAATGAAGCATGGCCACGCACTGAGGTCATCATGACGGACAAAGATGTTACCGAACGAAATGTCTTGTCAGATGCGTTCCCCAATGCGACATTGCAGCTGTGTCTGTTCCACACACTACGCAGCTTCTCTCGGGAAATTACTGTGGAGAAGATGGGAGTCCGCCCTGGTGTGCGCGATGCACTTCTAGGATGCTTTAGCGACATGGCGCATGCACGCTCTGAGGCACGCTTTGAGGAACAGTGCGCCTTTCTAGAGGATATGAATGTTCCTCTTGCCATTGAATACTTTCGGAAGAACTGGCTGCCACTCAAACATGAGTGGGTACATTGCTTTAAAGCACAGCACTTCAACATCGGTGATGGAACAAACAACCGGTTAGAGAGTCTGAATGGCCACATCAAAAGTGTGTGTGATAGGTATGCAACCCTGTCTGCATTTTTTGCAGACTTATTCTCAGTACTCCGTGTGCTAAGATCAGAGCGAGAGCACAAGGCACTCACCGAACGCATAACAATGGCAACCCATGAGCCGAGTGACATCACTAATGATGACCGGTTATATAAAAAGGTGCTCACTCCCTTTGCATATCGCAAAGTTGTGGGACAGATTGCAAAGCGAGAGAGTGTGCAACTACCAGAAGATGAATTGTTGGCACCTTCGTCAGAAGGACCTTTGCGAGTCACAGAGTCTTCCTGCACGTGTGCGTTCCGGTGCACTCTTCGCTTGCCGTGCCGGCACATCCTATCTCGAAGACACCAGCTGGGTTTGTCCTCGTTTGAACCCAGACTTTGCGATGCACGTTGGAGGCTAACTACACATAACGTGCAGGATGAGCTGGCATCTGCTGAAGCCAACCCTCTCCATGTTCAGCAGTTGGTACCTAGCAGACAGACAACACTGAATGGATTTCAGAAATTTCACCAAGCGAAGGTGGTTGCCTTGGAGCTTGCGAACTTGGCTGCAGAGGTCGGCACAAGGCAGTTTCGTGAACGTCTCAACGTCTTGAAGCTTCTCAAGTCTGAGTGGGAAAGGGGAGAAGACATACTGCCAGTTGATCACGAGTTAGCGGTGGAAAGCGCCTCCGGTGAGAATAATAATAAGACGTAAATCATCTCAATATTTATAGCTATTCAATATACTCATATTTTGATTCACTTCTACAGGAACAAAATTTTAGCTTGCATATAGATATATAACAGTTTATTGAATTTTCCACTTGTATGTATATGGTTTTTTCAACCAGCATTTCATAAATTAGATTCAGAAAGACCATGCCTCATGTATTCTACTGCTTAGGTGACCAGAGCAATGCTGAAACCGCTGATAGATTGTAAATTAATTTAAAAAATTAATCGCTTTCCATGTATTTATTTCATTAATTCCATAATTTATTTTTTCCTTCAGTTCTCAATCAACTTATTTCAGTCTCATTTCCCCTATTTGTTTTACAGTGTAACATGTATACATGTGTATAACAGCTGGCTCGCTGCTGGCTGCTGCTGACTGGACGCCCTAAGGCAAGCTGGTGCTGAATCGATCGCGCCAACGCGTGTAACATGTATACATGTGTATAACAGCTGGCTCGCTGCTGGCTGCTGCTGACTGGACGCCCTAAGGCGAGCTGGTGCTAAATCGATCGCGCCAACGCTACACACACACACGAACACACACGAGACCGATTACATGACCTCCGTTGCGCGGAGGTAATAAGAATTACCAACGTGTTCACATCACAACGTATACGTTGAGGTAACAAATACGGATATGAATTTCGTGAACAGTAGTGGTCGTTATTGACCGACTACTGCTTTGATCACATACTTTCTTTAGGGCTAGATTATGATTATAGTGCAACCACATCACTGGAAACTGGGCAACTACAGATAATGGCATTTGGCACCATTAGTGAAAACAACTTGAATATTAACACGCACTCAAGTCATTTAAAGGATACCAATAAGCCAAAATCAAAACGTCGTACTATATAATTGTACACTAGATAACAAAAATATTGTACTGTTTAAGACAGTGGTGTACAGCATTACTGAGATATATTGTACAGAATAAAATGTAATGCAATCTACTCTATTGGTATCCTTTAAAAACTGCATGTTAATAATCCCTTTTCCCCATAAATGGCGGTAGTGTTTCGATACGTGAACGCAAGCACTATTGGCACTTCCACAGCACTGCACTCAGAGCTACGCATACAACCCGATCCCCCGCACAGCCTAACGACCTTCCATCAAGCATTGCTAGTACTAGCGATTACGATCGATCATCGTACTGCGAGACAAAAAACAAAATCAATATTCTGGTCAGCAGATCTGCTGGTTGCACAGCCCTCCCCTGCCTCTACACACCTAATGGCTCCTCTAACTCTCAGCTCTGGGCAAATCTTTGGTTTTGGGGCCGGCCATGCGAAAGGTCAGCGATCAGCTGGCATCCTATAGTGACTACGCTTCTATCCAAAGTTCGGCTAATTTTTGTTCCCCCTTGTTCCTCTATGTTTGTTCACCCGCCTCGTATTTGTTCGAGATTTGGGACGGGGTCCTAACTGGATTGCTACTAGGAAGCCGGGAGTGGGAAACCCAACCCGTTGCGGGGTATGGGGTCCTCCCGCCGCCCCGCAAATGTTTGACACACTTGCCTGATTGTTGCCTAGGCTTCAACAACTCGGAGGTTTCCGGTTTCCTGCCTTCATCACATACGTGAAATCAGAAACCTGAATAGAATCACTGTGTGAGACATTAAGTGTCGGAAAATGGCAGCTGCTCCCAATATTTAATATTATTCACGATTTAACTCCGAGTAAAGAAATTTTATTGGAGAGTCATAATTTAGCTAGAAAACACTCTGATTTGAGAGTTGAAATGGGAACTGTTATTGTGGGCAGCTAGCCTGTCACAACAAAGTTGGTTGGG